CAGCCCATTCTGGGGGCATGTGAGTGAGACCCTCCTGGCTCTCCAGCACGGGGGTGCGGGGGCCGCTGCAATTCCTCCTGATGGTTCGAGGTAGCAATATGACGCGTAAAGTGCGCTAGAGTCTCCATCACCATCTGCGTTTGAGCAATTTAGAAACATGCTGGCTCAGTAGACCCCTAATTCTTTAAAATCATGTTTTTTAGGCCGTGTTACTACTTAAAAGAACCCTGGCTGTAATTAAGCTGCCCCATAAATCACACAGCAAATTTCATGTGAACTCAAAGGGTGTCTGACTCCTGCAATCTGAAGAATGGCTTTTGTGAGCATGGCTTCTGCATTCTGCAGTACTTTTAGTGTTTCTTCTAGCTACATCTTTTCCCTTATAAAGCTTGTCCCCATAGACAAGTCTGCCTCTGAGCCCTGAGTTCATAGAAGTGTATTATAAATAATAAATACTGTCTTTGTAGCACCATCCTTGCTCTGGGCTATATCCTACAAGCTCTCCATGCATGAAGCTCTCTTTGAAGAGGAGGAACATGAGGAGCTTGCAGGCTGTGTTTTACGTCACAGCGTGGTTCTTCAGCCTTTAGTGGGAGGTCGGCCTGAGTAAGGCCCTGAGGTCTATAGTCATTCCTGTGGGACATATGTAGTTTTAGTGGGGCAAGAAAAGGATGGAAGTGTAGGAAATAATGCTGCTTTGATATACAAGCTAGGCTTTTTCTATGGTCAACTCTTCTCCTGTCTTCCACACAGTGCACAGTGTCCCCAGCTTCAGTGTGCCCATCCAGGCTGCCCAGGATATAGCATCCACAAGTTTTTACCTTCTGATACTTTGGGAATTAATTCTGTAATATTGGACATTAGGTCTTATGCAGTTTCTGACCACGTGTCTTGAGACTAGGTAAAACCCCTTAAGAATAAGATTATATGGCACTTGTCATGCCTTCCTACATTTCTAGCATTGCTCAGGTAGAAGAAAAAAATACCATCCTTTGGTTTTTGTACAAAACTCCGTTACCTCAATGAATGTTAAAAGAGTGAGACCAAAATGTTGCCAATGGGTTATTGGACAAACGTACTGCTTGGCCTCTGCAGCCAGCCCCTGAAGACACCTACACTGGGATACTGCAGAGCGTACTAGAAGCACATTGCTTGGAGATCAAGTGCAGGCTCTGAGTGGACCGGAGTCTGTTTATCAAAATCAGCTCACAGCATGCAAAGACTGTACAACGTATTTGTGGTCCATGCAACGGCCTGATCTGCAGCCACTGGAAGCAGAAGGAGATGGGATAGGGTATGTAGTTGAACCAGGTGAGGTGGTCCTGCAGAGGCAGGGTTTCCCTGCTTGGACAGGGGGACGTTTGTAATGGCCCGGCCGACACAGTTGTGGCTTTTGCTAGAGGGGGCAATGGGGTCTTGCAGCCGATTCTAGAAATAGCAACACCTCCTCTGACACTGCTGTATAGTAAAGCTTGGGAGGACAGAGTTGGAGGAAAAATGCCAATGGCGTGCCAACCCCATAGTCTTAGACCAATTTTACGCCCTGATCCTGCCCAATCTTTCCATGTAAGTAAGGATTAGGAGGACAATTGAAAGGTGCTTTGGCAAGAAATGCTTAAAAACACTGTGCCGTGCTGCACAAGGCCTCTGTTTTGAGCCCGGTGCTCTGCCCCCAGCCCTCGCGCCGTGCTGGTCCCAGGGCACCGTGCATTCGCACAAGTTGCAGCAGGAAACAAAGGCAGTTTTTGCTTCAGATTCTTCAGAGATAGCAATATGTCAGTAGCCCCTAGAGAGGCTGAAAGTAAATGAATCAGTGCTAGAAAGTGAAGGATATCATCCGCACTGAATGGTGAAAAGGAGTCCTGAACAGTATCTTCATTGATTTTTCTGTAATTGACACAGAATCTCGGTTTGCCTGAGGGCTTCTGTACGAAAGAAGTGGGGAGGCCCAGGTACGAGACGCTTCCTTCCCTAGAACCTGTGAAAATTTCTCCTCAATTAGATGGCTTATTTTTTTTATGTGAACCTTTGAAAGA